TGGACCAAACCTAAGTTAAATTAACAATTCCTGTGAAATCTATTAGTTTCAAATAACAACCGTCAAATCATAATGTACATAATAACAGAGAGAGACTTGAACAATAATGTCCTAGAAGATAAACGTGATTAACAATCTCTCACTTCATACGGTTGGCATCTGGATCATCTACTCCAGCAATGTATAACTTGTCTTCAGGACTGACTTTGTTTGAAATAACAACATGCGAGTTGTGAAGAGGTTGAATTCCAAGTTGTTTGAGTTCTTCAAGCCATGCATCAGTATCTCCAGTGTAATATTCGTGATTTCCTAACAATCATTAAAACAAACATTTCACAGTCATTCAACTTACATGTTTAGGGACCAACCAGCCCAACAGGTTTCACTATGGTTACTTCCAAAAAATTATCAAGAAAAACTACTGTAATAAAAGATTTGTTTCTAGACAGTACAAATGGAGAATACAGACTCCAGACCGGGTACAAAACGTAGACTACCCTATGAACACCAAGAATGGAAAGACTGCAGGCAAGTGAACTCAATGGGCCATGTGCGAATATCTGGTGGTAATATATGTACAATTGTCAATTCATAGGTAATGGGGTTATTGTTTCTGATACAAATCAACTTTTACACACACAAAGCACAAAGCAGATTATTTATCAAAATATCCTTCCAGGACATCTGATATTAAATCTAAAAGCTTAGTCCAGAGTCTTTTCTCCCTATAAAAATACAATCCCTCTTACCACTAATCAATCTTCCTCTCCTCTCGTGATCAACAATCGATCAACAAACAATGACTGAGAGCCGCCGTCTACTCACCTGTAACAAAGTATGATCCGTATTTTGATCTCAGCCTCTTGAGAGGTAATACGACTTTTTTCAAGTTTGCCACAGTGGAATCTACCAGATCACCTGTGATGACTACAATATCCGGCTTTGTAGCAGACACCATCTTCACAACTCTTTCGAGGGCATCTAATCCAATTAATGGCCCGAGGTGAATATCTGAGAGTTGTACTACTGTTGTCCCATCAAAAGATGGCGGTAGTTTAGAGAGAGGAACAGTCACCCGTTTGAACACTGGCCCTTTGTAAGCCGTAGTTAACCCTTGTATGCAAAGAAGTAAAGACAAAACTGTAGCTATTATGGTTTTCCACTTGTCAGCATTAGGAATTGTGAAGTTGCACAGTCGTAACAATCCAAAAACAACGCTTAGTAACAACAAATTAAAGAAAATCAAAATAAGAAGACCTAGACACGCAAACGCCAGTTTGTTGATAAAATAAGGCTCTACACCGATAAGCATTCGACCAATGACAAAACTGAAGAAAGCCAGCCCAAGGAAAGCAGCGAAAACAATGTACATAATCCAGTGAGTGTAGACTAACTTTCGTGAGTTCGAATGCCGGTTTGGAAGTAATACGATTAGATTAATCCAAACATAACGCGACATAGCACCAAGTATGAAACAAAATATTAAAAGGAATTGAATTCTGAAAAGTATCATCTTCTTTTTTGGTTCCAGATCAATCATTACAGTGACAGCTATTGCTATAGCCATCAATATTGCGATTCCTCCAAACACACGGTAAATCTTCATGTCCGCCATGATGGGATTCGTGCCCAGTTTTCCTCGATTACTTCTCCACCTGTTGGCAAACTGCAATAGTCCTTCATCAGAAAAGTGCGACGTAAAGATGACAAAATAGAAAAGGCTCTAATCGTAAAATAGAGAACCATATCAACCTGAAAACTTTTCGGAAGGTTACTTTTTAAGAGGTATATTGCCTGTTTGAGGTAAATCCTCAATAGCATGGGTTTCTGTCAGCAGTACTGTGATCTTGATCTTGGAAGTTAGATCTTTATGACAGTTACGAGAAAATTTCAGAGCATAACTCGACTGAACCCAAGGAGTTTCCCCATAATGCTGTAAAGTGGTCTGGGTACGCTTCACAGACGAGCCGTTCGCAATTGGATGCCTACAGCGCGGAAAAAAGCGTTCGTTCTGTAAATATATGGATTCGCATTGTTTTGTGATTTTACACATTCCCGAAAAAAAGTCATCATTTGAGACTCAGACTGCTTACCGTTACGACTGTTGGAAATGTAAAAGTATTCCGGAGAGAATTCCCTTGCGGAATTCGATTTGTGGCGACAAGTTGATTTTACAGTTGGCGCCAAATTGGCAATGACAATACTCCATAGAGGCCGTTAATGTTGAGTTTCTCGTACAGAGATTGTAGCATACACTATACAGTTTATTGAAGCTTAATAAGAAAGGAAGCTTAATAAGAAAATTACAAATTACAAATTACAAACTAATCGAATTAATTTAATTAATCTAATTATTATTGATCTAATTTACACTTTCATGTTCATGAAGACCGTTCACGCCCGCAAGTAGCAGGAGCTAGTCGAGGCGGGCGAGAATTAGAGGTACAGCAGTGGTGATAGAGTACAAATAAAGCTCAAACATAAATTAATAACATTTGTAACATATCATGAAACAAACCAGCATCTGCCAACTCCTGGACTATGCTTGTCGAAAGATGAAGCTTTCCATCCAACGTCTGGATGGTATCTTCTACATCTACCTCTATACATTTAGTCAGTAAAAATTATTTACAATATATGTACAGTTATCACGCTAACTATAAATCAATTTAAAAATGTGTCTAGTAAGTAAAGAGTATATATAAAGTATCATCAAAAAATGTAATAAGTATACTGAATAATATAGATATAAATATTTCAAATATAAATCAATTTTCCCTTAAGAAGGTGCTCAATTTGGTTGTGAATATATCCATACTAGTGGATGACACTATATCAGATGGTGGGCTATTCCACTCTCTAATGACCCTAGCCGGCCAAATTAAGAAAATTTGAATACATCATTGTTTGTCTGTTTAAGGTAATATTTAAAATTATGAGATCTGCGGGTACGGGTTTCTGTTGGTGGTATCAAATATTTAGATTTATCTCTATAAATAATGTCTTTGGAAAAATTTGTACATTGTCATATTAAACGGACTTATTTTCGGCGAAGAACAAGGGATTCCCATTCCAGGTCTTTCAACATAGAAGTAACTCTAGATTTGTAATTACAGAAACGCGCTGCAGCTTTCTGCAGATTTTCCAATTTCTTTATATCATATTGGACAATTTCTTTATATCACATCTTGTCGTTGTTCCAAGAAGAGACGAGACAACTCGAACAAAATACCTGCGCACGCTATGATCAGAGCCCGTCTTACAGTTTCTCAGTTGGAGTATAAATAATCAGATGCTGTGTAATCCGAGTAAGTGTAAAGAACTGATATTTAGAAAGAAGGAAAGTAGCGGTACATGCCATCAGTACGCTCCCATCAGTAACGGCATTCCTCAATGTGATAGCCTTGTATTGCTCGGTCTGCTTTTTCAGCCTAACTGTACTGAATTCAGCGAGCATGTTAGACTTAAGCTCACAAAAGCTAACAAGTGTCTTCACATTCGCAGAACTCTACGAAAGGAACTCTTTAGCCAGAGGGAAACTGATTACTTACTTAAGATCCTAGTCCTTCCCATTCTCAATTATGGTCTCGCTGTGTATGGTGCTTCTGACTCTGATTTAAATGTCATACAGCGTTTTTTAGATAGGTGCCATAAGCGTCATTTTACCTCTCAAACACTCAGCATTTTTAATCTTTTAGAACAGCAAGATAAATCCGTGTTCAAAAGAGCTATTGATAATCATACGCTAGGTGCGATCATTCCCAAAGAAAAAGAATTAGTATATAATTTGCGTGCGAGGTGTCATCTTCCTCAGATAAAAACGGAGAGATTCAAGAAAACTTTTGTAAATATACTTATTTTTAAATATAATCTAGTCTAGTATTATTCTATTATTATATTTTATCATGTATCATTTAATACTTTTTCATTGTAACTTAGGATATGTATTTTTATCCTTTGATTGAATAAAGACTATTATTAGTAAACTATTATTACAGCTATTCTTTTCTTGTCGTCCGCCATTTTGTCGAATATGTAATCTGGCCTGTCCGAACGAGGGTAGGTAGATGTCAAAATCTCATATAAACGCTCCGTGTATGCTCCATGTCTTTTCTCCATCTTACATAAAATTAAACATAAAATTTGAACTGTCGGTATTTGTAGATTCAGACCTTTCGAAGATTGTCCCTAAATGTGCAGGAAATTCGACCTCGAACCTCTGCCATTTCGAATCCTGCTAAGCAACCTGGCCGCTCACTTTTACGGAAAAAGTCTTTTTCCTCTTTCTTTTCTTTTCTTTTTTTTTTATCTTTTGACAATCGTTTCGACCAATAAAGAGCTACAAAAGAATCTCAACTCAGATAATTATTAGCATTATTTTTTTTACGATAACCAGAGCAGCAGTTATGTTTGTAATCACACGTTTCATTTCCGCCATTTTTAAGTATGCAGCCAGGTGACTGAGTTTCTAACCATCTTAGCAAAAGGTCATCATTTTTTTAAAACTTGGTGAAGATATGTAGGACAGGAAACATTCTGGCAAGAACCTGAATTTCAAAATCTGCTGCTTGCAAAAAAGAAATCTGATATATTCAAAAGTTGAAAAAAATGAAAGAAAAGTTTGCATCCTGCAACATCTGTTTTTACTCCAGCCTAATCGAAAGTGGAAAAGTATCAGTTTCATTCTGTTTTTGTGATGAAAAGGTTGCATTTAACAGTACTCTATTTCGCTCACCACAGTGGGGAAGGATTTCTCATCGCTGACAATTTTTAGTGGAATAGAAAGTTTGCAATTCACATTTCAGGAGATTACACTGTGAAACAATTGATCATACTCAAGGTAACTTTAGATTACTTTATTATCTGTAATTCACTGCCATAAAAATCCTCAATTTTTTTTTAAATTCAAACTGCTACTCTTAAAGCAAACTTTAATTCACAATATAGTTAACAAAAATGATAATATTCCCTAAACTATATGAGTGAACCTGCTACATCTTTACATATCACTGGATAACTTTATCCAAAACCTTTGTAAAAGAGTATTATGCTCAGGTCATAGCCCCATACTCCCTATGGGTTTAAGTCAATACAGAACAAATCTAATCACTATGTTTCAAACCTTGCTTTTGGAAAACAGATCACTAGGAAACCATTTCAACTAAAAATAATTCCTATGTGAAAAAGGACTGTCACAGTATAATAAAAAGGGCTAAAATTGTACTTGCACAATGGGCCAGTGGTTTATAACTTGCTCTTGCCATATGTCTTCTTGAAAGGGCATGTAGCCTCTTATTTCCAACAATGCCTATTTAGTAAATAATCTAAAAGAAGCAAAACTTTTCAAGATGGCTGTCCTTGCTTTGATAAAGAATGCTTCATCTGCTGTGCCAAATTTGAACCAGACTTCTGGGGCTCTTCAGGAATCAATTTTTCAATCATTTTGCGAGGAAAGTTACAGAAAGCTGTTCTGGCTGCTGCAGGTGTTGGTAGGGACCTTACCATTGACCATGTGTTTGTGGTGACATCATAACATTCTACAGAGCTGGTGGCTAATCCATTCCCAGTCCATCCACCACAAACGAAAATCTTGCGATTCAAAACAGCCACACCAGCTTGATAACGTGGGGCACTCAGTGATGCCTTAAAATTCCACTCATTGTCATCAAGATCAAGTGCTTCACATGTTGGCATGAATGTGTTACCATGGTAACCACCAATAACATAAATCTTGTTGTCAACAACAGCAGCCATAGCATCTTCCCGTCGTTCAATAATTGGAGCCACAGCTGAGGATATTAAAAACGGAGACTTTCTAATATACAGATATCTGAGACCATTCAGATAGACTCATTGCTCAGGAGGTATTTTTGTATTATTTGCTTGAAGTATTGTTCATTGTGGTGTACCATGATTTAGACTAAAATACTAAAAGTTACTGGATCAAGCAATAACTGTACCCTCCCCTCCCCTCCCAAACATTAATCCTTCACATCACTTGACTGTTGTTGGATTATAGGAGGGGCATGTGTGCAGTTGCTCAGATATTCACACTGATCCAAGATTCCACATGCACTCTCAAAATACAATTATGGTGTCAAATCTTATGACAGAAAATTAAGTTTGTTGCAAGGTACATTTACAGGTTGTTTGGTATCATTTTACAGCACCTATTCTACAATTAACCTCAGCAACTTCTTACCTCCTGAAGACCACACATCAGTGCCTGGATCATACATTTCCACAGAACTTAGGTAATTGTTTCCATCATAGCCACTGATGACATAGATACAATGACCTTCAGTCACAACACAGGCACCATCACGCTGATTGTTCATTGATGCCACAAACCTCCACTCATCTATCTTTGGATCATAGCATTCCACAGTTCTACTCGGGAAAAAAAATGACCATCAAAGTGAGATTACAAGAAAAAGTTTGGTCACCATGCTAATATGTTTACAATGGGACTCATGGCTTTTTACTTCCTTTGGAATGCATCTCTTTCTAAGTTGAAAACATACAAAATTCAAAGTGGAAACCAATAAAAACTCTCTAACTTATAAAAAAAGGCTGTATTTTGCGCCAAAACACGACCTAACCCAACTTTGTCTGGGGGTGGGTGGGGGATTAGAGGGCAAGCTTGATGCTTTAGATGAGGGCTTACAAGG